TCCATATTTCTTACCTTGGCAAATAAAATTTATACCGCCTTCGACTCATAAGAAAACAACATGTTCAACTAGAATGGCTACAACAAATATGTAATTTAATGGTACGTAATTATAAAATTGTTCGCATTCTATAATTACATAACGTAAAATATGTGTAAAATAAATTAACCATGTGAATAAAATTTGCAAATAAAATTGCAGTGTTTATTCCACCCTTAATAAGTTTTGAGTTATAGTAAATATGATCTCTATTAATAAGTGGTAATAAATTGTATGATACTTTCTACTGAATAACTTGTAAATTAACATACGTAAAAGCAGTATTATCTGCAAATTGAAACTGAATAAAAACAAAACAAATATAAACCTTGACATTGAATGTATTGGCGGTGAAAGTCAACGCACCTACATTATGTTGATTATTTTTTTTTAAGTAAGGTAAATGCGATTTCACTTGCAGAAGAGAAAAATTTATTGATAAAGAACTTGATCTTCATTTCTTCTTTTAAATCTTTCATCATTAAGAGTTTTACAAAGACCAAAACTTCAAATCAAGCTCTCCTAATCAATAGCCTACTGACATTAAAATGTATAGATGTATATTTTGACAAATATATTTACTCTCAGAGGTTATTAATCTATGTTTACTCTAATGATGCCACTAAATTATAATGATATTAAAATAACGAAGTATTTAGAATAATGTTTCATCATTTTACGTAAATCACTTACCCATTAAGTACTGTAAGGTTCATTAAATCTCAATTAAATACAAAAGTTCAGGAAGTAAATACAATTATAGACTAGTATGAAAATAATCAGTGGTAATCGTTATAAAACTCTTGAGTAGTTTACATTTCGACATCATTTTCTATTTTTTCTGACAAAGGCTGATACAATAATGTAATACAAATTTAAAAACATAAATTTTATAATATAAGAGCAATTGCTCAATTTTAATTTAATTTTAGACCCTTCAGATGTGACTTATCATGTTAAAAGCCATACTTCCTCCACCCAAATGGTAAAAAATCATGAAGACTACAGTTTAGAGCTGTATGAGTTTTTGTAAGTTAACGATGGTATAGGGATAGTTTTGTTGACTGCAATAAGATTTGCTTTCACTGCCTCATTATAAAAATTTTGTTACTGAAAACTACTTTCTTCTTTAATTTTTACTTCCGGATTTGGCCTTGATTCGTGAGAAATCGACCTTAAATTGTTTAAAGATTTAACTTAAGATAAAAAAAAATAAAAGTAAAAACTGTTTATCTGCTTCGAGTTTAATAAATCCGTACATACATACGGGTAAGTTTACTGAAAGCTTTCTAATCTGATTGTTGATATTGAATGCATTTTATATTGCATTAATTTCAAAGTGGTTATATTTTAAATATTAAATATATATTTTTTTAAATTTGGCATTCATAAGGTTTTAACATTTTAAAATGATTTTGACATTCCAAAATATGCTTAACTCTAGTCTGTTTGACAGCTTTATGGTTTCTAAAATACACATTTTTAAATATATGACATTTTGAAATATCAAATTTCAAAATAGGATTTTACGTATTAAATTTTGATTTAACATTGAATATATTGGTTTACACATTAAAAAATATGTTTTGAAATTAAAAAAAAATATGTAAATCTTTTAAATGGTTTTGAAATTTTGACATTTTAAATATCTTTTCCAGTTTGATATTTTATTCAGGTTATAACATTTTCAAATGTGTTTATGATTTGTAAACTACACATTTTTAAATATTAATTAACATTTTGAAATTTTTATGTTCCAATATAAGTTTTTACGTTTTAAATTTTGAGTTAACATTGAAATATTAAAAATATGTTTTGACATTTAAAAAATATGTCAATCTTTTAAATGGTTTTGACATTCTAAAATATGCTATGACATTATAAATATATTTTCAAGTTTAACATTTATTTAGGGTTATAATATTTTAAAATGTGTTTTGACATTTTCTAAAAATGATGTTGGCATTCTAAAATATGCATTTTTTAATAACACTGGTCTGTTTGACATTTGTAAGCATTTAAATTTATCAAGCGTTTTGACATTCTTTAAAATGATTTTGGCAGCTTTATGCATTTTGACATTTAACATTTTTATGTTAGTTTTATGCATTTTGACATTTATTTAAGGTTATAACATTTTAAAATGTGTTTTGACATTTTCTAACAATGAATGAACTTGACATTTTGAAATATCAACATTTCAAAATAAGATTTTACGCATTAAATTTTGATTTAACATTGAAAATATTGGTTTACACAGTAAAAAATATGTTTTGAAATTAAAAAAATATGCCAATCTTTTAAATGGTTTTGACATTGGCATTGACATTTTAAATATCTTTTCAAGTTTGATATTTAATTCACGTTATAACATTTTCAGATGTGTTTTGACATTTTCTAAAAATGATTTTGACATTCTAAAATATGCATTTTTAAATAACACTGATCTGTTTGACATTTGTAAGCATTTGAATTTATCAAGCGTTTTGACATTCTTTAAAATGATTTTGGCAACTTTATGGTTTCTAAAATACACGTTTTTAAATATTACTTGACATTTTGAAATATTAATATTCCAAAATAAGTTTATACGTTTTAAATTTTGTTTTAACATTTACAATATTGGTTTACACCACATTAAAAAATATGTTTTTAAATTCAAAAAATATGTTAAATGTTTTTGACATTCTAAAATATGCTTTGACATTTTAAATATCTTTTTCATGTTTGAAACTTATTTAAGGTTCTAACATTTTAAAATGTGTTTTGACATTTTCTAAAAATGATTTTGACATTCTAAAATATGTATTTTTTAATAACTCTGTCTGGCATTTATAAGCATATAAATTTAAAATGCGTTTTGACATTCTTTAAATTGATTTTGACAGCTTTACGGTTTCTAAAATACACATTTTAAATATAACCTGACGTTTTGAAATATCAATAATTCAAAATAAGATTTTGATTTAACATTAAAAATATTGGTTTACACATTAAAAAATATGCTTTGAAATTAAAAAAATATGTCAATCTTTTAAATGGTTTTGACATTCTAAAATATGCTTTGACATTTTAAATATCTTTTCAAGTTTGATATTTAATTCAGGTTAGTACATTTTCAGATGTGTTTTGACATTTTCTAAAAATGATGTTGACATTCTAAAATATGCATTTTTAAATAACACTGGTCTGTTTGACATTTGTAAGCATTTAAATTTAACATGCGTTTTGATATTCTTTAAAATGATTTTGGCAGCTTTATTCCAAAATAAGTTTTTACGTTTTAAATTTTGATTTGACATTCACAATATTAATAATAAATAATCTTTATTTAGCAGATTCGCTATAAAAAACATTACATAAAGAAAAAGATATAAATAAAAAAGTAAAACATAAAAATATAACACGGAATATTATTAAACACATTTTTAAATGTTACAGCATTAAATAAATTTCAAACTGGAAAAAGACATTTAAAAAATTAACAAATTTTTTGAATTTTAAAACATATTTTTAATGTGTTATATAGTTTTTACATTCTTCTATCTTGTTATTTTATTGTGTTTTTTACCATATATTAAATATATGGTAAAAAACACATTTAAAAATGTGTTTTGACATTTTCTAAAAATGATTTTGACATTCTAAAATACGTATTTTTAAATAACTCTAGTCTGTTTGACATTTATAAGCATTTAAATTTTTGACAGCTTTACACATTTTGAAATATAAGTTGACGTCTTGAAATATCAATATTTCAAAATAAGATTTTACGTATTAAATTTTGTTTTAACATTGAAATTATTGGTTTACACATTAAAAAATATGTTTTGAAATTAAAAAAATATGTAAATCTTTTAAATGGTTTTGACATTCTAAAATATGCTTTGACATTTTAAATATCTTTTCAAGTTTGATATTTAATTCAGGTTATAAAATTTTTAAATGTGTTTTGACATTTAAAAAATATGATTTTGACATTCTAAAATATTCATTTTTAAATAACACTGGTCTGTTTGACATTTGTAAGCATTTAAATTTTAAATGCATTTTGACATTCTTTAAAATTATTTTGGTTTCTATAATATTAATTTTTAAATTTTACTTGACATTTTAAAATATCAATATATTAAAATAAGATTTTACGTATTAAATTTTGATTTAACATTGAAAATATTGGTTTACACGTTAAAAAATATGTTTTGAAATTCAAATATATGTAAAGGGTTTTTACATTCTAAAATATGCTTTGACATTTTACATATCTTTTGAAGTTTGACCATTTTTTTAGTTTTCATAATGTGTTTTTACATTTTCTAAAATTGACCATTTAAAATATGCATTTTTAAATAACTTTCGTTTGTTTTACATTTGTAAGCATATATGCTTAATATATTAATATCAAATGTGTTTTGACATTTTTTAAAATGCTACTGTTTATTTTTATTTATGAGATGATTCAATGACAAAATAAAATATTAAAAAAAAAATTACAATATAAAAACATTTTATTTAAATATGCGCTAGATATAATTTATAATTACTTCTTTTTCATTAAAATAAAAATAAATTGCTATTGTGCTTAACAAAATTGTATAGAATTGCATGAGATAATAATAAGTGTTAGTCATTATTTATTAGCTTATAGTAATTAATAATATTAAAACCTATTCTTATTTGTTAAATAATTCCTATAGAATTAATTATTTGTTGAATTGTTTAAATATAAGAAAAATAATTGTAATGATTTAACGAGGTATGCATAGTTAGAAGTACATAAATATAAATATATGTATATAAATAAAAAAAATAGATTATGTAATTTTTTAATATTTTTGTAAAAAATGGTGGAGGCGCCGGGAACAATATACTGGGTGTCGGTATATTTCAGTCCAAAAGTAAGCAAGATACCAAACACTTTGGAGGCAAGAATTCGAATTGTTTGTATAAAGTGAACTTACTTTATATTCTTTTGTTCTCCCTGGCAGTTTTTTCCTCCTGTTTGAGCCTGTTGATGGCGTGAACGGAGCCGAAAAGGACCTTCGCTGTCACCTGTATGCTCTTTTGTTTGTGTCCTGCTGGACGATTCCTGTCGGAAATGTTGCTGCCCACGGGAGCAGGATAGTTGTTGTTGTTTGCGTCGCGGAGCGTGCAGGATTTACAGTTGTCGGGCATTTTTCTAGCAGGAATGTGTGATGAATAAACTAAAAACAAAATTAAAAATTTTAAAATATTTTTTAAGCTTCAAAGGTCAGTTTTGCAATCCTAACATTGTTATGGCAATCCAAAATGTTTTGATATTTCTAATCAATGTCATGTTTTATTTGATTTTGACATTCTAAATTATGCTTTGACTTTTATAAGGTCTTAACATTCTAGAATATATTTTAACATTCTTTAACATGATTTTAACATTCTAAAATATGCCTTGCAATTTTTAAATAGCTCTGTCTGTTTGACAAGCATTTAAATTTAAAATGTGTTTTGACATTCTTTAAAAGGATTTTGAAATTCTCAAATATACATTTTTAAATAATTCTTTCTAGTTTGACATTTATAAGCATTTAAATTTAAAATTTGTTTTGACATTCTTTAAAATGATTTTGACATTCAAAAATATACATTTTTAAATAATTTTTCCTAGTTTGACATTTATAAGCATTTAAATTTAAGATGTGTTTTGACATTCTAAAAAATGTTTTAACATTCTAAAGTATACATTTTTAAATAACTCTTTTTAGTTGGACATTAATAAACATTTAAATTTAAAATGTGTTTTGAGATTCTATAAATGTTTTGACATTCTAAAATATACATTTTAAAATAACTCTTGTCAGTTGGACATTTATAAGCAGTTAAATTTAAAATGTGTTTCCACATTCTATAAAATGATTTGACATTCTAAAAAATACATTTTTAAATAATTCTTCCCAGTTTGACATTTATAAGCAAATATACATTTTTAAATAACTCTTGTCAGTTGGACGTAAATAAGCATTAAAATTTAAGATGTGTTTTGACATTCTTTAAAATGATTTTGACATTTTAAAATATACATTTTTAAATAACTCTTGTCAGTTGGACATTTATAAGAATTGAAATTTAAAATGTGTTTGGACATTCTTTAAAATGATTTTGACATTCTAAAATATACATTTTTAAATAACTCTTGTGAGTTGGACATTTATAAGCATTTAAATTTTAAATGTGTTTTGAAATTTTTTAAAATGATTTTTACATTCTAATATTTACATTTTTAAATAACTATTCTGTGTTTGATATTTATAAGCATTTAAATTTAAAATGTGTTTTGACATTCTTTAAAATGATTTTGACATTCTAAAATATACATTTTTAAATAACCCATCTCTGTTTGACATTTATAAGCATTTAAATTTAAAATGTGTTTTGACATTTTCTAAAATGATTTTGACATTCTAAAATATACATTTTTAAATAACTATTTTCTGTTTGACATTTATAAGCATTCTTTAAAATTATTTTGACATTCTAAAATATACATTTTTAAATAACCCATCTCTGTTTGACGTTTATAAGCATTTCAATTTAAAGTGTGTTTTAACATTCTTTAAAATGATTTTGACATTTTAAAATAACTCTTATCAGTTGGACATTTATAAGCATCGAAATTTAAAATGCGTTTTGACATTCTTTAAAATGATTTTGACATTCTTAAATATACATCTTTAAATATCCCTTATTAGTTGAACATTTATAAGCATACAAATTTAAAATGTGTTTTGATATTCTAAAATATACATTTTTAAATAATTCAAGAGTGTCAAAACACATTTTTAATTTAAATGCGTATAAATAACAAAATTGTCATTTATACGCATTTAAATTTAAAATGTGTTTTGACATTCTTTAAAATTATTTTGACAGCTTTATGGTTTCTTAATTTTTAAATTTTTCTTGATATTTTTAAAAATTAATATTCTAAAATAAGTTTTTTACATTTTAAATGTTTTATTTAACTTTGAAAAATTGTTTTTAAATTATTATGGATATTATATTAAAAAATATGTTTTGAAGTTATAATAATAATAATAATAATAATAATATTAATAATATTAATTTTATTTCTGCTATTACCTAATAGGTTTACAAGTTAAAAGAATATGTCAATCATTTAAATGATTTTGACATTCTGACATTATAAAATTGAATCAGTAGCGGCGAAAATATATTGGTTTAAGCTACAGGTAAAGCACAAACAATACGTAATTACCCTGGGATCTTAGTTATTTAGATTCAAAAGTATATTTTAAATTAATAAAAATGTTTATTACCAATAAAGTTAAATATTATTCAAATTTTATAAAAAAGCATTGAATATTTTACAAAATAATGTAATTCTGTATATATTTTGACCAGGTTTTTATATGTAAAGTAGTAAATAAATTAAATAAACAAAGTAAAACACCTTTGACATTTTAAAAATGTTAACTTTATTTTTCATTCTATTTTTAAATATTGTCGGAATTAATTTAAAAAAAATCATTTTCCACATGTCTAAATATTATCAAAACGTTATAAGATGTAACTAATCGTTTAGTTTAACCAACCAAATAATGATTTCCTTACATAAGAACTTGCTTAATGCAATTTCAAGCCCTACTAATTCGTATTATTAAAAATGTAATTTAATTTCCTAAATATTCAGTTGCAAACAAGAACACTTAGAGTCTATTTGCTCGCAATGTTGGCACTAACTTTCTCTTTTTGCCCCTCTAATGAAATTCCAATAAATATTAATAAATATCAAACTAGGTCAACAGTAGAATAATTATAAAATGCTATAACAATCATATATGCAACATTTTAAATAAAAAATAAGATACAAAATTGTTAAAAACAAGGGGTGTTTTAAATAAATAAAAGAAAACATAAAACAAATTATAAAGGCACCTTGACCTACCTTTTAGATCCTGAATTGTCTTTTTTCCATATGTCATACACTGGTCGCTCGATCCAACCTATAACCTGTCACTTTTGACAGACGTTTGACAGTCGAAGCAGGAAGTGGCAGATAAACAAACAAACAAGTGAAGAGGAAGCAAAACAATTGCGCGTATCAGGTTAAATGTTGTATTGGTGCGGCGACACACTGACTGAGTGAACGAGTAAGTAAGTAGGTGGAGTCAGTAACTATTAACACGAACTGCGTGTCGACGTTGCCGGCGCCTCTGTCATGCAAAAATGCCGTCATTTTAACCTCTTTTTTTAATATTCCTGCAAGATCAAAACCCGACAGCTTCGCTCAAACTTTAAGCACATCACACAAAGTTCGCGAAAATAGACATTTTTTGTCTTCATTAACAAGGAAGAACTATTTCCCAAACTTAGGTATTTTCTTGCGATCTGGCAACATCGATGGTACTGTCGTGTCCCAAGCACTCTCTCCGGATGGTACTGATGGCCAATTTTACATGCCATAAGGTCGAGCACTAGGTTCAGGTGAAAGGTTCAGCTCTAAACGTTTAGATAAAATGCAGGGTACAAAAGAAAACAAAAAAATGTAGTTGTGTAAATTAAGGAAAGTTCATTTAAACTCAGACATATCCATTGATATAGTTGAGTAAATAAATAACAGTTATGTCCAAAATAGTTCGGTACTAAAATTTAACAGTTTTTGATTATTTTTTAATTAGTTTAATTAGTCAAAATAAATGCGGAATCATGGAATGAAAAGTTAACATTGCGGATGAAAGAAGTGTGTCACTAGGTTATCTACGGAACAGCCTGTGGTATACGAGGTGACGTCTGAATATTCTTCACAGATCTGATGACACTATAATAGTAAACCCAACCCCAAATATACACCACAAGGTCTGTCCTATAGTCGTCGCGGCGAATGTTTTGAATTGTTTTATGTCAAATGCCAAAAACCGATTTTTCGACATACGGTTAACCCTAGATTGGTTTAGGCGGTTAACCCAAAGATAATACATTATCTTTGGGTTAACCTAGCGGTTCCTTGGATTAAATACGTAAAAGAAAACATCAATAATTGTAATGTCTGTGCTTGGTTCAAAATTTGATGACGCAATTTGAAACATTCGCCGCGACAACTATTTCTCGTTACGCTTATACTAAGTTATACGAAGTTAGGCAACCCACTCCAACGGCGGCCATTTTTATGTTTGCAATTATTGTGCTGCTTACACAGATTAAAAATCGTCATAAATGTTGTATTTCTTACAGAGGCACTTGTAAGCCTTTCACAAGCCATTTTACTCCTCTTTTGTAAAAAATAAACCTTATTCTATCAGGGCTGTCAACAAACTGTCAAATGTCAATTTTAAGGTTAATTTACCATAACCCACAAATTAACCATACATGGCATATATGGTATACCCACAAATTATTATGTTTGTAGGTCTGTGGTTGTGATTCATTCCCAATTAAAACTTGTTTGGACATCCTATATAATTCGCATCAATCAAATTTGGTTGACAAAATGTTGACAATTTTTTGGTAATCATAACTTAAAAATGCAATCATTATTTAGTAACTTGCCAGGTCCAAGCACCAACATCAAAACAAGACATTTAATTGAAATCAAAGCTGGAAAAATGAATTTACAAAACAAGATGGTATATCCAGATAATCGTAAAGGTCTACTGTACCTTTACCAAAGTGAAGACTCTCTGATGCATTTCTGCTGGAGGGATCGCACAAATGGAAAAGTTGAGGAAGATTTGATAATTTTCCCTGACGATTGCGACTTTAAAAGGGTCCCTCAATGCACAACAGGGCGTGTCTATTTGTTGAAGTTTAGGTCCTCGGATAGGAAATATTTTTTTTGGATACAAGAGCCGAAGGAAGATAAGGATGATGAAAACTGCAGGAAAATAAATGAAATACTCAATAATCCTTTGAACACAGTGACTTTATACGAAAATACTAAATGAATTTATGAATCCTCTATAGATATTTAAAAATAAGGGCATCACACCAATAATGGTATCAGATACCTTTGATAATGCAGAGGGACTGAAATAGGTATCGTAAGAGATTAAAATAAAAGTCTTTTTAATAATTTTACTATAATTTATTAAATTTAGGACAATACACTTTAAAATGACAAGATATAATTGAAGTATTCTTAAAGTACTTAAATAATTAAAAAATAAATATTTTCGAATGTTTCGGAGACAAATCAGCTTTTAAATCGTCGTAATAAGTTTTTTTATTCTGGTGTTCAGAACATTGTCAAATCCTTTTTATTTTAATTTAATATTGTTGTTATTATAACCTATAGATAAGTTTATATTGTTTATGTAATTATTATTATTTATATTATTAAATCTATTTCGATTTGTTAACTCTATTTTACTAATAAAAAATGCAGCCGTTAGATTATGCCACCTAATCTAAGTTTATATATTTATCATTATTATCTAAATTAATTGAAGTAACAATAACTTTTATTATCAAGCTGTTTATAAGTATGGCTTAGCCCTTATTGTTACCTTAACCATGTATTAAAGCGTTTTAAAAGCCCTATATGTTAATTAAACTCACAAGTTAAATATTGAGTTATTTTATTCTTCGTCTGGATCTTTTTTGTAGCCTTGACAGTCATCTATCTCTCTCAATTTTAGATGTTTTAGTTTAGGGTTTTAATTTTAATTTTAGGAAATGTCTAAAACGAATCTAAAGGATCCTATCTAGACATCAAAGACATAATCGTTTAACAGCGACGTGTTTTAGTTTTTTGTTTTATACTGTCAGACTCTAAAACTTATGAAGTGTCTTCCAGAAAACCCCTTCAATATTTTGGAACGATTCTTTTGATGGTCGTGTGGAAGTTGCTTTGAAAAATCGCACCAAAACCTTAAGAAGTTCAACGGAAGACGACAGTAAAGCATAAGAATAAAAATAATCACTAATTTGAGTGTCATAGCCGTTGGTTAAGCTGATTTGTTCCCAAATACAATAAGTTTGACTAGACTATAGGGAATTACAAGAACTTAAAAAGTGTAAATGCAGACTTTCAAAACATCTATGAAAGGTTTAAAAGCATTCATTTTTGACAACTTCTTCAAGTTCCCATTGGGTGAACCATACATGTTATAATAGCAGAGAATACCAGCATCTTGAAGATGTTAAACGTGTGATAGGCTTGAGCCGATATCATCAAACCATTACAACCAGTGTAAAACAAAACAAACGATGGATACATAAAAAATCATGAGTATATTTAAACTACATAACAACTGTATCAACGAGATGCGCAAAAATGACTTTAACCGTGTTTATCGGGAGAAAAAACAAACAGTTGATCAATCTGAAGAAATGCAGGTTCCATTCGGTCTTCATGATGGTGTTGAAGCGTTCGCACATCAAACTGTTAAAATTAACGACGAAAAAAACTATGAATGGTAAAGTAATGATGAAAAAACTGAAGAAAAGCTGCAGGAAATTCTACATAATGACACATTTTCCTTTCTCTGCCCAGGGGTTGTTCTTCTTATCTGGCGCGTGGATCAACGGGTCGTTCTTCTCGTTATCTTCAACGTATTCTCGCATTCTAAAAGAAAGAAAAACATTTTAAGAATGGTTTTAAATACACTGTTTAAAATATCTGTGGTGTAAAGAGTAATCTTAAAATGGTGTCAAAATCCAACATCAAGTGGTGTTAATATAAACACCATGAATTATGGTTGAAAATGTTATATACATCAAACACCAAAACGGTGTTTATCTAAAAATATTTGAGAAGTGCACCTACACAGAAAAAAAGGAATAGTTCATTTAACTATATTAATGTATTTGACCCATAAGTATTTATTTAAATCAACTGTGGTACTAAACCAGTTATTTTTTTTAATTGGTTAAATTACCCCAGAAAACTTTAGTGAAACCACCCGCTGTATGGTTCAGTTTACTAAATATGATGTTTGCAAAATAAGAGTTACTTCAACCTAAAGCACTCTGTTAAAACGATTAAAACCTTGCCTTGCCTTGCTTTCCTGGTTGCATAGTGTGTACCGATCGCGGCAAAGGCGGTGTGGATCACGTGATGTTCTTAAATCTCGCCTCTGTTGACTTACATGAAGAGTATATAAGCTCAGGTAGTCCTTTGCTTTGGTGTGACACTACAACTTGTAGTCTACAAGTTGTTCGATACTAAAGAGACCTTAAATAGGTGGAAACAGCTGTCAATATTTGAAGTATTTTAAGTTGGTGGAACGCACTAAAAACATTATCTCTAGCGAGTTGAAGGTTCAATTTTCTGGAATAATACCACTGGTAATATACTTGTAATGCGTCAAGGAACTTCCTTTTTTCCCTTTTTTTTGTGTAGTATGATTTAATTTGACCAAAAACTCATAATATTTAACACTGAAAAGGAGTTCAATTTACACCAGGTAAAATTTATTTTAATACTGTGTAAAAGTTAAATTTACACCATTTTAGTATTTGAATTTACACTGGACCAACGAACCATATTTAACACCATTTTGGTTTGTATCGATATAGACCATGTATGGTGTTAATTTGGTGTTAAAATGGTCATGAAATTTTGAACAGTGTAGAGCGACTTTAAGGTTCACATTTACTGGCCACCAAGGTTCTGCGATTTAACCCTCTTAGGCTTTTCATGGGTGTATCTGTTAATTTATTAAAAACCACAGAAGAAAATCGATTTTTTTATTTATTTCTGTATAATGCAAATTTAGTATACCTAAATAGAAAACAAAAAGAGGTTAATAAAAATAAAATAATGTAATAGTCACCCATTCCAATTTTATAACCTTACTATTTCAGTATACAGCAACGTAAAGCCTTGTAATAAATCACCTAATGTTAAGCGTAAAAATATAAGCTTTTTATTAAAAATTATCGTGAAAATATTTATGAGGTTGCCGTTGAAAAATCCATTAAAAGCTTTTTACGTTTCCACATAAATTGCTACTAAAATGTACCTTTACAGCATTAACTGGTTTTGTTTTTTAATTGATTGAGATTATAGCTCAAAAGTGTACATTTCTTGCTCCCTGCTTTAAATTCTTTTCCACACCACAAAATAATCATAATATACAGGGTGTTTACGATCGTGGTCCATTAAAAGTTTCTGGGGAACGGCAAATGATATCGATTTGTTTTTATAGACCTTAAAATCCAATTAAGTCTATTTTTATAAAATATTTTAAACAAAATGCCACTTTCGGTTTGACTAAAAGTGACATTAACTTTGTTATTTCAAATATAAATACACTGCAAAAAATATCTTTTTTATGTTAAAATTTCTGTGTAAATTTTGTGTAAAAATCGTGTAAATACTTTTACACGAAAGTTTCTAAATTGGGAATAAACACTAAAACGTGTAACCACTTGTTAATTTACACATTAATGTGTTTTAAACTCATATTTAATAAATATATCATGTTATCCTACACGAAGTTGTCTACATATTAACAAATATCGTGTAAAATTTGCCCCACCCTTAGTGCCGAAGCTAATCGCCATTGTATTGTGCTGGTGTTTTTCTTATAAAAGATTATTTTGTAATATCCAGCTTTTTGTATATAGCAAAAAGTGAATAACTGCACTTCTCTTTTTTGCACATGTACCCTTTTGCTTCTTACCCCTGCATATGTAATATGAAATTTAAACTTCGAATTCACGAAACAAATTGGGTAATGGCAAAATTGCCAGTAATACATGCAAATTTATCTTCTTTAGGTAAGTCAATTTTAAACAATTAATATGATCTTGTACTTTACTACTTAATATTGTAGATGCGGCCTTTTAGCTAAGCAGGACAGACTTTTTTTTAACCTATAACAGTATTATAATTTGTTTTTTTAAATGTTTTTAATAATTTGTTTTATATAAATATATTATAGTATAATATTATGTCTTATTGAAATTATAAAATATTTTTTGAAATAAAAATAATTTTTTAAATGTAATTTTTATTTATCTACCCAATTTATTGTTAAATTTAACACGCTAAAATATTAAACAATAACACCAACTATAGTGTTAAATTTAATACCTAAAGTTGTGTACAAATTACACAACCGATGTGTTAAATAAGTAAGTTAAGTAAATTATTACACGATATAAAAAATAAATCAACACACTGATGTTGTGTTAAAATTTTACACGATTTCGTGTGGACTTGGAATAACACAGTTTGGTGTTGGCGCGTGTTGTGTTAATTATTTCTTACAGTGTAAAATAAAATTTTCAGTAACACAGTTTGGTGTTGGCGCGTGTTGTGTTAATTATTTCTTACAGTGTAAAATAAAATTTTCAGTAAAATGACTAATCATGTCCTATAGGTACCTAAAGTGAATAGTTTTCGAGTTATTAATTTTTTTCGTTAAAATTTGACAAATGCGCGTGAATAAAAAATAGCCTATAGGTAACTTTTTTGTTATAGGGTTTAAGGATATGCGGGTGAAATTTTTGGAATCTTAAAATATTGCTTAAAAGATACCATGTCAATTCTTTATCATTTTTCAATAAATTACCTTGTAAAACCCAAGGAAAATTAGGAAACTTCTAATGGACCACGAAATATAAACACCCTGTATAATTCAACATATCCAGTAAAACGCAAATACTCGTAAAGTTCATTTTTTTATCTGGACTGCGGCAAATTTAGGGTTTTGGTTGGTAAATACAGTTGTCAAGTTGGTGGCATTGATTAAAACAAACTAAGCTAGTTATAAATGGACGGGTTTCTGCAGAATGGGACCAACCCACACCATGATGAAACTGAGAAAAAAGCTATCAAAGATTTTAATAATTTTAAAATTACCTGTTAATTTTATGCCGATTTTGGACTTACGGAGGTTTAAGGGATATAATTTAATAATTTCATCAGGTGGATTTTGTGATGTTATGTGTAAGGGTGACGAAAAAAATGGGCTTTTGTTGGTTGGTTCCTTTC